TTTGAAAATTTCAGTCATGAAAGATCATCAGGAGTTGATGAAAAATTAGCGAACCTCAAAATACTCATTCCCCCAGAAACTGCTAAGATATTTATATCTTCTGTTTATCAAGAAAACACACAAATCTCTAGAGACTAACCAAGCCTGAAAATATTCAATCGTCCAAGAAACTATTAAAACAAAGATACACACTGTGTATCGTCCAAAAAATTTTGGCTCACGTGCTATTTTTGTCAATTACTCGATGCGCAATTGGAGTTAAAGTACTTCAATTTCAATGAAATTATTCTATCATTATTATGAACATCTTACTTGCGAAGTCTTCGTGAAATAAGAGATAAAAGAATGATCTTTTTCGAATCTTGAAACCCCCAACCCCTTAACCCTTTCGTGATTTAGTATACGTTATAGACGTGATGATCGGTAGATAAATATCAAATTTTCTTGAGAACCAAATAAGCTAAGATCATTCTCAGAGCAAAGTCTAAGAAATTAAAGAAGAATAAAATATTTCGAGGAAAGGGGGTTAATTCAGAAAACTCCCAGCGCCCACCAGAAATACGTGAAATATAAAATTGCCTAGAAATTTTGTACAAAACCAAAATTAGCCGGAATCATTCTCAAAACTAAAACCTAATAAATCAGCCAAAGAAAAAAAAATAAAATGGCAAAATTTATAAGAAAAAGGGGTTAACCCAGAAAACTCTCAGCGCCCAAATAAAAGAAGGCCAAAAGTTTTGTAGGAAACCAAAATTAGTCAGAATCATCCTTAAAGTTAAAATCTAAAAATATTAACCGAATAAAATCAAAATAATAACGAGGAAAAGGGGGTAACCCAGAAGACTCTCATCACACCCACATGAAAAGGATCCCAAAAATTTTCTAGAAAAGCAAAGTTAGTTAAAATCACTAAACCCTAACAAATCAACCAAGGGGAAAAGAAAAAAAATCCAAAAATTTATGAAGTGAAAAGGGGTTAACCCAGAAAACTCTCAGCGCCCAGATAAAAGGAGGCCTAAAAGTTTTGTAGGAAACCAAAATTAGTCGGAATCATTCTTAAAACGAAAACAAAAAGGAACAGAACGAAATCCAAAAATTTACAAGGAGAAAAGGGGTTGATCCAAAAAAACTCTCAGCACTCATACAGAAAGAATCCCCAAAATTAGCCAGGACCATTCTCAAACCTAAAACGGAAGAAAAAAGGGAAAAAACAAAATCCTAAAATTCACGATTAGAAAAGGGGTTAGTGGAAAAAACTCGCAGCACCCAGCAGAGAGAAATGTATGGAAACGAGAAGACGTCCCTCGTGTAGTTGCTTGGTGCGTGGAGGAGGAAGAGGAGGATATCAGGCCAGGGTTGACGCGTCGACGCGCAGAGGCGTCGAAGGCAGAGCAGCCTTCGTCGGACGCGGCCGTTCATGGAAACGACGCGTAGAAGGGAGAACGGAAATATGCAGTTCGTATTGAGGCAGGTCGGTGCAGCGCCACGAGTCGCGCTCCAGGCGCAGAGATCAATGCACCCGCCCCCTTCGTGCCTCGTCGTCGTCGACGTCCACGTCGTGTCCGCCTCGTAAATCCGCGAGCAACCGGGATGCGTCCACGGGAACGTCCTCCTGAGGATCTTTAAACGTACCGTTGGCAGAAATGGGAGAGGGATGTCCTTGTTACGCAAGAAGAGGAGCCACGAGTGTCGCTGACGAGGACGAAACGTGGTTCGCGCGTGAACACTTCCATTAAAAATGTTTCGTTCTGCAAAGAAACGCACTAACTGAAGGAAAAAAGAGATAGAAATGCTGGTGGAGGATCTTGTGTTCCTTCCTGGTGAAGAAAAGGGGTGACTCTCGATCGTGAAGATATAGAGATAAAGGTCCTAAGAAATTGTAAGAGAATTTCCATTCAAAGGATAAGAGAACACTGGAAGTCTGAAAGATAGAAGAGAGTTTGATATTTGAACGATGTCAGAAAACAAACGGAATCTTCAACGTGAAACATCCTCGTTGACGAGAAGTATGTTAATTAGCAATCTCTAGCTGGCACTCTCTATGACCAATCGAGCTCTAAACGTGTCCTTCGCCTCCTGATAATAAATGGTGACCTAGCAGAGTCACGGTGAGAGGATCGTACGCTGAGGAGACAGTGGAAAATGACGAACGAGCGTGCCGGTGGTCCAGGGTGTGCGGAGACGAAGCTCGACGCCGACGAGGACGACGGTCGACAAGGTGCACCGTGATGAACGCTCCGGAATAATGAATCCGAATGAATCGTTCGAGAAGCGTGAATCTGCATGTCTGCGCTCTCTCCGAAGGACTGTAAATCGGAGGCGGCTGGAAGAAGAAGAAGAAGAAGAAGAAGGGGTGGAGGACGGTGGTTGGAGGAGAGAAATAGGTAGCCACTGATGCACAATCATGCACAGTCCATCGGCTAAGTGGACAAGATTTCCTTTTCTCGAAATATCGTTTGCGCCGGGTGGTTAGGCGTTTAAAGGGACTGTTATGAGAGGTAGAGAAGGTGAGAAGAAGAAGAAGAAGTAGACGAAGAGGACAGGGTGGTTGGAAAGAAGGAGAGAAGGGGAAGTGCGCGAGGGACATATCGACGGACACAGAGAGAAAAAGAGAGAGAGAGAGAGAGAGAGAGAGAGAGGGATGTCGAGAGGAGAGAAGCCCTTTCTCCGTGGAGTGTTCTCGACCCTGTCCCAATTTCCAGGCTCGCGATAGCTGTGGCCTCGGGAGCGCGACGTTACGGATTAACAGGCTGCGAGATGCGCACCGAAATCGACCAAGGAAGACGTTACAAGCTTCTCGAGAACAGGAGGAAATTATTGAGAGTTGTTGATCGACTGAGGGAAGGAAGGGTGATATATAAATAAGAGAGGAGAGAAGGGAAGAGAAAGAGAGAGTAAATATTTGAGAAAGGGGGATGAGAAGGAGGATAGGAGGACGAAAGGAGTTGAGGTGCACGAACTATCGTTAGGAGAGAGCGTGTGTATAGGCGAGCAGAATGTTCAAGAGCAGGATCTTTCAGGGCGATCTCAGCCCTGTCCCAATTCCGGGCAGCCTGCAACAGTCCAGTACGTAATAATGAGGGAAACCCTTTACAGTTAGATCGATCGTTCGACGCACGTTTCGCGCAGGGGATCAATCCTTGGGGCTCTGACTTATGAACGGGGGACGGCTGGCCGCATGAAATTGTGCATCGTACTACTGTTTTTCTTTTCATTTTCTTCCGATTGTCGATGATTTTCATGGTTTGTTTGTTTTGGGGGGGTACAGCGAAGTAGGATAGCGTGGAAATATTGCGATTTGGACTGATTCGATTGTTATTACAACGCTTATTTTGGTTATTCTGAGTTGTGATGGAATTTATTAATGAATTTATCACTGAAATGTACCTAACTCGTCTTTGTTGTGGTAATTCTCTTCCATTTGGATTCGATGATCTTGATATTTGTAACGATGGATTGTGTGTATGTATTTATTATAGGTATTGTATTGTGCTTGTCAAACACACTTGCCATTAAATTTACTCTTAACATTAGAGTTTCTCACGATATCGTTCTTATAATATATTCAACATTGTTGTTCTAGCGACTGTTCACATTTATCAATGGCAATTTCGCACAAAGACACACTTGTCGCCCACTGGAACATCTCCCAGTTTCCTTATTCGGTCCATGAAAAAGCGAAGTAGCATCATTTTTGAAAAAATCATCTTCTTACTCTCATTTAGTTTACCTTTCTAACTACTAAAATTATTCTACTGTACTTCTAACGCTCACAAAGCCAGAACTTCACACGTACAAGCCTTCAAACGTTTTTTCACAGCTTAGAAATCGATATCTCCAAAATGCCGAACAATTTTCCCAAAAGCGAAATATTCTCAAAAAAAGAAAAATCTCGTTTCCACCCACGTAACCAATTTCCTCAATTCAGAAATACCTTAATTCCCACCTAAATACTCTCCCCGGCCGAGAACCCTCTTCCGCCCCACATAACAATTCCACGATCCCGTTTCGACCGTGGCCAGATTCGATCGAGCCGCTCGCCCGTGGCCGAGACATCGACAGAAAGACGAAGAGACATCGGCAGAAAGGTTAAGACGGGGCTGATAACATGAAAAAGTAGGTAGAGGTGTATCTGGCGGGGCGAGTGGGGCACCAAACGGGTCGTTGACCCGTTTGGTGCAGCTGTTATTGATCGACGAGGACGAGGAGGACTAGCAACACAGCTCAACCGTTTCGTCTAGCTCTCCCTCTCTCTCCCTGTCTCTCCCTCCCTCTAGTCCTTCGATTCCCGCAGGATTCGAAAACCTATTCTCCACCTAGCTACCTACAAATCGAGGCAATGCCTTGGTTCACCTTGTCCTCAGCTCCCGGTAATCGTCGAATTTCCACCGCCTCTTCTTCGACCCAGAAACTCGTCCGTAGCTCGAGGGAATCCGGCAAAGAGCTGACCCAATAAACACTGGGTGACCTCTTTCCCGGCCTCTCTCCTCTCGCACCCCCTGTCCCTCTGCCCAGCACAGAGCCACCCTTCTCCACTGTTCTTCCCCTTCGACAGCCATAAAACAGCCATAGCAATCGTTCCAACTACCGGACAAGTCGCCTGTTTTTTTTTTTTTCTTTCTCTCCAGAAGGGGAAGTTCTTTAAGCGTCCCTGATCGTTTGTTTTGTTGCTCTCTTTTCCACCGACGAGCCCTCCGGGTATCGTTAAACTGGGGATAATTTGGGGGTTGGGAATTGGTCGAATCTTCTGCAGGGGAGAATGGAAACTGGGTTATTGTTTTCTCATTTTCGGGAGGGATATATGTGTATACATTGCTCCTTTTTTTTCTTTTCGTCTTTCATCCTGACGAGGATGTGGAGAATCTTTCATGAGGTTAGATCAGGATGAATTTTTTTTTTTTTTATATATATATATCAGACGAGACTGTTTTGTGCGATAGGTAGTAGAGGATTTAGTCGGAGGACGACGAGGTTAATTAAAGTTTGTACGATGATTTCAGGTCAGCAGAGTCAGCAGGGCGAACAGGAGTTGGCGACGAAGATGCTGCAGATCCAGAGCAAAAGATTCTATCTCGATGTAAAACAGAACAGACGTGGGAGGTTTATCAAAGTAGCCGAGGTATTTTTCAGATTGTTATTTTCATGAAGGTTCCATTAGGGGACCTTTAGTGTCGTTTCGTTCGTTCGATGGTTAAATTGGCAATCGAATGAACGTTCTTTCTTTTTTTTTCCCTTCGTTTTCTTTTCAAACTGCGAACAAAGAGTAAACAGAGAATGCTTTTGTTTTTATAGATCGGCGCAGATGGAAGGAGAAGCCAAATCTACCTGGCGCTCAGCACAGCATCCGAGTTTCGAAACTACCTTTCGACGTTTAGTGACTTTTATGCATCCCTAGGTAAACCGCAGTCTACAGTTATTGTTATGAGATTCCGTTTGATGCGAGCACTGATACGCGCCTCCAGGGAGAGAACCTCTCTTTGTCGGTTTTGTTAGATCAATCCGCTCTGTGCCAGATAGAAGGGAAATGTTACTGAAATTCTTCTCTGTATCTTAACACGTTCACTGTCCTTGTTTCGTTCAGATGAATTTTTTGTGCAAATTGAGAAGAAAATTAGAGGTTTCTAGAGGAACTTGGACCGTTATTGTGATCTGATAGAGAAAAACTGTGTGTTAAATTGAATATTCTTAGTTATTAGTAATTATTAATAATTGACACTTGTGGAATTTTCTTTCCTTGAAAAAAATGTTACTTTGAGCACTGGTTTTTTAGTAGAACTATATTACTTCTGGTTTGAATGAAATTAATGAAGATTCTATCTTTACATTGTCAAGAATGAACAGTAAAAAGATTGGGTTTCTTTTGAAAAGTAGGAAAAGGTTTTTTGGCTTTGATAAAATTATATTTCTCTTTGTGTGAAGGGAATCAAAGTAACAGATATCCACAGTTTTTCGAGTTTAATTTTCTTCTGCCTGTGGAAAGGAGAATGGAGATGAATTTAATGGTAAAATTACTATGATAATTACTGATATTTCAGTGTTGAAAACATGTTGAAGTATCTACAAAGATAACACTATGCGTTATCATTGGATTTGCTTTATCTTTTCTACAGCACTAGGGGGAGAACTGATTTTATTCATTTTATAAAATGTTTGGAATTTTTAATTCGCGTATCTTGTTTACCGTAACAGATTCATTTTATGTAGAATATTTTTCCTTGCAAATTTCGTATATATATCGATAAGTGGGAAAATTTTTAAAGATACATGAAAGCTACTTGTGAATCATAAATGTCTGAAGTAAAGCTGTTCTGATATATGTAAACATAGATCATGAGTCAAAATTAGGATGAATCATAAAGTGCTGAGTCAATGTCGTTACAGATGAATTACGAATTTCTGTCTCAAAATTATCCTGATTCACATGTAGGCCATCGGACGGTGAACTTGTTAAAATATGCTCTTACTTCGAAACAAAACCTGATTTTAACAAAGAGAAAGCAAATTATCCATTAGATTTAACGTGTTAATTGGAATTCAGTGTAGTCTGTGTATCATTAGAAGAATGATTCGATCTTCTGTTACTAGCATAGATCTCCTAATTAAATTAATTATAATGTTAATACTTTTCCAAAAATCTCATATTTTTATACTTCAAAATATTTTTCTATTTTATAGTATTTTATAATATTTCAAAGTATTAATTTCACAATTTGAAAACCTTGAGCAATGTTAGCTTATTAACACTGAATAAATTAACATTAGTAGGAAAACAGATAGTAAAAAGTTAGAAGGCCTCAGATATCTCAATGTAATTTCTCACTTTGAAATTTCAACCCTTTCGTTGCGCAATTAATATAGAATAAATATAGAAAAATATTGTGAAATATCGCAGCGAAAGGGTTAAGAGCAGTGTTAACGTCTACATAAAAAAAGAATTTTATCATAGAATTAAGAATTTTATTCAGAATTTTAGAATATCGGTACTTACGTCCAAAAATCTCGAATATCCGCTTTCCAGTAACAATAAAAAAACAAAAAAACTGTTAGTAGAGAAAAGAAACGAGTCGTGAAAGTTTAACAAAATCTGTCAAATAGCGAGAAATTTAATATTTCTTTCCTGTTCGAACCACCGAACCCGCAGGTCCACCAACCTCGGAGAACGTGCCAGACGACGGGAAACTGAAGTCGGAAGTAATGACGAAGGATAACAGGCGGTATTACTTGGACCTCAAGGAAAATACACGCGGCCGTTTCCTGCGGGTGAGTCACCCTGTATGTACCAGCCAATGCATTTACTTTCTACGCTAAATGATAAGGAGAGAATCTATCTCTTTTGTGGATATCGTCTTGACGTTCGAAAGGGTCACAATCTTTCCAGCTGGTAAAACCATTTAGTAGTAGGCTCTCGTACGCAACTCTTCGTTGAAGAGCAAACAAACAACACGGGGACGGTTCCGATCTAGAAAATTTGCTTTTTGTCGTGTGCACATTGCTTCAATTTATCATAGGGTAGATCTCTGTGGAATATTTTCATTCAGACAGCATTGTTTGTTCTACAGGTGTCGCAGACGATCACACGAGGAGGACCTAGGACGCAGATCGCGATACCAGCACAGGGTATGATTGAGTTCCGTGACGCGTTGACAGATCTCCTCGAAGAGTACGGTACGGACGATGGCGGTTTCAAGGGTGACTTGCCAGAGGGACGGTACATGCGCGTGGATAGCAAGAATTTCTATTTTGATATCGGCCAGAATAACCGCGGTATCTACATGAGAATTTCCGAGGTGCGTGCATATCGCTGGTCTAAAAATACAGAGTTGTCTCTTGAGACGGCTGGACACGTTTCTTTCAGGGTGGTTTCACGGGGGGAGGAGTTTATTTGAACGTATATTCTACAGTATGTAACAAAATTTACATGGATTCAGATTGCTGATATTCTTCATTTTATTTTAAAACATTTTAAACGTTTCAAATGAGAGTCAGCAGAGTTGTCATCTTGTGAAGGTTAAGATTGTTACACTGTTTTTGTTGCATACTGTATTTGTATCAATAAATAACGCTGAGTATTCGTTTAAGGAAAATTTAAATGTTCAGCTGAATCACCAAAATGATTGAAATTCGTTAGGAAAAGGTAGATTATTGTAGTGTTGCTTCTTTTGTATAAATCATATTGGTATAATGAAATACTGTTAAGTTAATTTGTCGAAGGAATTATTGGAGCATAAATATAACTAGCAAGAGATATGTTTACAAGCACCTTTCTAGAATGAAATTGTTTTTAGTAGTTTAATCATCTTGGTACATGGAGTGGAAAGTCATTTACAGAAGTAATCTTATACATTTATCACTGATAAGTATTTTCACGACCATTTGTTCATATTCTTCTTTAATTCTGTAACTTCATTTAGCCAGTTTGACCAAGGAAGAAGTCAAGGATTTAATTTGTTTTGTAATCCTTATTTAAAAAAAAAAATGTATCATTCTTCTGAACAATTTATCAGATCTTCGAGTAAAGAGAATAAAGTAACAGTTGAAGAATGTCATAATAAAAAGGATAACAAATTTCACCGTTCGAGAGAAACGTGATAAGAACAAGAATGTGTGTTTTTCTTTCAGGTGAAGACACACTTTAGAACAGCAATCACCGTACCAGAGAAATCTTGGGCGCGTTTCCGTGATATATTCGCAGATTACTGCGAAAGAATGAGAGAAAGAGGTGCTGGAAGCAACGTGGGCATGAACAGCGGCGGCGGAGGGACCGTCTTGAACGAGGGGAGAGTAGGCACGGTGGTGCCACAGGTACCATCACCATCGACCTCACAACAGCCTAACCCCAATCCAAATTTAGACTCTCCCTTAATGAAGTGAAAAAGGCTTTAACTTAACTCGAACATTGGAATTATAACCGTAACTCGTTTTCAAGTCATTAAGCGAACTAAAGGAACTTGTCAGAGTCTATGCCATCGTCATCGCCATTTTCATCGACATCGACATCGTCATTGTCACCGTCACCGTCACCGTCATCGTCATCGTTATCGCCACCGTCACTATCACCGTCACTCGTCGTCAACTAAAAACACCAAAACTCGCCTGGAATGGGTTCTATATATATAGAGAAAATATCGTTGCGGATCGTTCAAAACCGGTCAGAGCTGAATTGTTAAAGCATTAGAATTCGTATAATTGCACGGAAGATATATCCGATAGGAGAGGTCGCGTGACGCGCGAAAGATCATTGATATTATCGCGTCGATTTGCCGATTTTTTATTATCGATCAACCACGTCGTGAATAAAAAAAAAATAAATGAATAAAGGGAAAATAAACCGGAGAAAGAAAGGAAAAATAATATACGATGAAGGATAGTGGATAAAGGAGGATAGATGATGTGTATGTGTGCGCGAAACAAAAAAAAAAAGAGATAAACAAAGGAAAGAAAGAAAGAAAAACGAGTCTGCCGCTCGTGCGATTCCACGGAAGTACGCAACGACGGTATCGTGGATATATAGAATTATTGCGCGATGTCCTTAGGTGGATACGAGTTGCCATCGATTAACGTTATGAGTACTACCGTTCATTTCCTGAGCTATTTCTCTGTGCCACCATCGATTTCAATATTTTTTTTTTTATTTCGTTTCTCTTTTTTGTTTTTCTCGCTTGTGAAAATTTTCTCGTACGAAGAAAGGAGTGCCGGCTCTCACGTGGCCGATACTCTGTCGTTACTACTTCGCTGGTCAAGACGCATTCGTTCCAACGAAAAGAAGGAAGGAAAAAAAAACACGATCGTCGGCGGGAAATGAACTGTAGTGGAGATCACGTTACAATTGAATTTGATCGTTCAGAATTTATGAATAAATGAATAGTTGTTATATTAACGATTATATCGCAGGGAGAAAGGAGAGCGTGGTGTGGGTAGTCGCGTTTTTAGACTAAAGTCCCGTTGATCGCGGAAAGCGGGTCAATCACTTGTCGACTTAACTGAGAACGACCTTTTACGAGAGAGCGTGCGATAGAATCTCAACGAACGGAGATGTACACACATATATCTCGTTCGAAGTTTCGTCTTTCGTACGCAGAACAAAAACAAACATGTTCTCTGCGTACACGTGCTCCTTTCACGAAATACATCGCGTTGTCATTTTTTTTTTCTTTTTTCTTTTCTTCGGCACGCCTCGTCGCCATTTATCATGGTCGTGTACGGTTAAGTCG